GAATCACGATATCGAGGTTACAATCGACGCTTGATATTTTTTAATAACGTCAATAAGATACCGAGAAAGCGTGAAATCTACTACAGAATGCAATGTGGCAATAAACTGGAGTTACATAAAGGAATATGAAATAAGTTTACACCAATGATAATGTTAGTAATAAAAAAATTCTATTTCTGTCTTACAAATATATATATATATATATATATATATATATATATATATATAAATTATTTGTAACTTAATAAATAAATCAAAACAGACATTCTCGTGTATCAATTGTATTTATTTTTTGTTCTTTAAAAATCAAACCTTTAAAAGTTTTATTGTTATTGTCCCGCAATTTTTTTATCATTGTAATTTTTCATGCGAAAACAAAGAAAGAACCGGCTCTCTTTTTCATTTTTATTTTTTAATTGTATCATTAAGAGTAATGTTTATGCAAGTAATTCATATTTGTGGCTGTGATAAAATGCGCTGGTACACATGGCGTAACGGAATACGAAACAAGATACAAAGCAACGTTGCTTTTGTTTCCATCATTCAAAATTCACGTGGTGTGTTATATCCTGTAACAGGGTACATTATAAGTTATAATAAACAGTCACATCTCGTTTAACGAAACTCTTATTCACGAGTGTGGGGGTATTCGCTTTTAGAATTTTGCAGGTTTGAAAAACTTCAAACACTTTGCACGGATTAATGCAAGGATTGTTTTTTAAGCTTCAAAAAGGGAAATAATTGCTTCATGGTTGGTAAACATGGCGAGTTGGCATGAAAATATTCTTAAAATTGTTTGGAAAAAGAAAGAAAAAGAATTAAATAATTAAAGAATCTTTGGAAATCTTTTTAAAATTAAAATTAAAATTAGGAGTAAAATATATACGCAGTTTTGTCTCAAAAATTTTCTTGATAAAATAAAATTTAACAATTTTATGTGACATTCCTTTTGATAATTGTGTTTCAAAATTCATTTTTATTTAATCATTAATATTAAATTATTCGCAAGAGAAAAATATTTGTACAAATCAAATATACAATGGTATGTAACATTTGCATAAAGAAATAAATAATTTTCAGTTGAATAATTTGTTTTTGACTACTGTAAATATTTTCTAACTTCCGGCTATCTGGAATGATAATTTTAAACACCATATTTGCAACGAGCCCGAAGCTAAGCGGTTTTTAATTTATAATTGTTCTGAAATTTTATATAATTAAAAAGAAAAATTAAATTATCATTAATAACAATTCTTTCCAGATCGTTATTATAAATAGATTAAAAATGAAATTATAAATTATCAAAGAATATTGAAAAATCTGAAAATATTGCTTGTCATAAATTATTAAATTATACAATTATTAATTTAACAGAATCGACGTAGCATATAATAAATTTTATAATATTATCTTTCATTTTTCTTATAATTTTATTAAATCCATGATATTATAAATTGATATGATATTGTAAATCTTTTTAATTTGCATTTATTATTGTAATAAATTTGTAATCATTTGTAATCACAGGTTTTTACAACACGTGAAACGTTTCAATTCTCCTTTTTTAATACCAAATACCAAGCAAGGATCGTAAGTGAAAGCTTAATTTGTTTTGCAAATTGCTCGAATTGCTTTTCCTTTACAACTTGCGGTCCAGAATCGATTTCTCATGGGCAAAGAGGATTGCAATCCCTTTAATCAAATAAAATCTCATCAATTTGATTCAATTTGATTTATTGAGAACTCGAACGTACATTTATCTTGACAATTTCATGTAATCTTAAGAAGTAAGATAAATATAAATTTATGTTGTGATAAAATCGTAAAATAAAACTTTTATTTAAGACAATATGTGTATTGTTTTAAATCATTTACATTTACCAGGAAAATAAAAGAATAGTTTTTCTTCTTTTTCCTTTTTCTCTTTCTTATTTGCATTATTAATTTTATTCATAATAGCATTGTAATGTATATTTCAAAAGTACACGATAAAAATATGTAGTTAAAAGAATATAATATATATCTTATGAAGAAACGAATTTCATTCATTCAATTTTATTATCCAATTTTTCGTTCAATATTCCTTGCTTTTTCATTTAATTTGCTGTATGAAGTTACTATTTTACTATCATTAATATGGAAAAACGATCAAATGATACGAAGAATAATAAAAAGAAAAGATAAACAGCAAAATAGCAATTCCTCAAAAAATTCGTATATAAATCATCTTAATTCATCAATCTTAACTTGTATCACTGTTTTTTCGATAATTATTTAAATAAACATTATATTTCATTGCTGTATCATATTAATGTATCATCTAGATTTCGTATTTAATAATCTCTGAAATGAAAAATTGGAGCTAAAAATATTAGAATCGAAATTAAACATTGTTACAGCCTGTATTTAATCCGTAAAATGAAGTTATTAAATGGCAAAGACTGTAACGTGACATTGTAAAGCAAAAGATTAAAAAGGAAACTAAACTTTCTCCTAAGTAAATTTTTACTATCAATAACAATTTTATAAATATTTAAGTAAGATAATTCGAATATAAATAAAATTATCAATTCGTTTTTTATTTTGTCCATTCAAAATTTTGAAATCTAATTCGAATTTTTTAATCCCAATACAATTCAGAAATCACTATTATCCTGCTATCACAAGTTTGCGATCGGCAAGCGCTTGTTCGACGCGCTGTTGCGCATGCGCGGACGCATACCGACGCAAGAATCCGTGCCACTGATTGGTAGACGGTCAGACGCTCCGAAACACCAAGTATACGTGCACGACTCGCATAGTCAGTCTCGCGCCGAGCGTTGTATAGTGCGCTTTGTTGGAAATAATATCGTTCGTGGTTCGGATTTGTGTATTTGAAAATTTTCGAGAACTCGAAATATATCACGATATTAACGTGTGTACGTGACAGACAATCAAAGTGATATTTCTCGTGTCGAAGAGACAAAAAGCAACAAATCGTTAATTCGTTTGCATCCAGCGATCACAAACGAATATTCGAAGGTTAGCATTCCCTGTTTTTATAAAGGTTCTTGAAAATTGTGAAAAGAAATTGTGCAATCGAACTAAAACCGCGAACGCGGTTTTTTTCGCTTTTTCGATCTCTCGATTCCCACCTCGTATTGTTTTTATCTTACGAAATTTTAATTACTTTTGTTATTATTTCAGAATTGCTTATCATTATCATGATTGACAAGTGTGTTTATGTTTTAAAACTATTTTAGAGTAATATTCTTAATTATTTGGAGAATTGTTGTTTAATATTTTATTTAATTAATTTTGAAAATTTTGAAGAGATTCTGAAAATATATTTCTCCTAATTTTAATTTCTTGTCATGTATAACATATATTGGAAGACGATTAAACTGTAAGAGAAAACAAAAACTTTCTATTACGTTTGCGGAAACAAGTAATTTATGTGTAATTATTATTTTTTTTTATATAATCTAATCGTTAATTTTGTTATTTACTATATATAACAAATAAATCTCTAATATTGTAATACTTAATATAATTGAATATATTACTATAATATAATAAAAAAGACATTTTACGTATTATATTATACCAACTATAATAATTATATGTTTATTATATGTTTATTAAATATCCTCCTGTAACAATACTCAATAGCAATACACACAATATAATATAATTATTACATACAAGTTTTAAATAAGATACAGTGAATTATTTTAATATAATCTAGCATTGTGCATTACTATATTTTATATATAAAATAAAATATAATAATACACAATATTAGATTTGTATTACAATATGTATTTTGTATATTATAACGCATATATATTCGCAATTATTATAACAATTTTCTTGAATCTTCTTCTTCCCTCTTAATGTTTTTTTCGCGTTAATGGTTTTTCGCGCTGTTAGTCAGTATTTTCCTCGTCAAGGAAAATCGAGACCTCTCTCTATAGGTAACTTGTTAGCCTGAAATCCAACGCTCGACTAACTCGGTCGAATATATACGACTGACAATCAGTCGATGCAATTCCGTCCAATTCAACCGTCGATTGCGACAAACTTCGATAATTAAGCCGCTTGTCCGTCAAACTTGCTCGTCGAACGTTTCGCCGGTATAATAACAACGAAATAATAATAACTTTTCACGACGATCTCGGATTCAATGGACACGCGTGTATCGACGAAAGGAGAGTTTACGTTGCGGTTAGCTGAGTAAGAAATTTGCGGATTTAAATGGGCCGCGATGCAACAAGTCTCCTCGAAAGAAGAAGAACTTTCCTTCTCGACACGCTTACGCGATTATCGCTGAATAATTATATCGAGGGGAAAAAAATACCGTTTTGGAAACGGTAATTTCACAAAGAACGTGTATATACGATATTTATAATGGGCGTGGTTAATAGTAATCGTGCGTTGAGAATGAAATGTTTGATCGAATAGTGGTGTATTTTGTATACGATTATTTATCTGGTACGTTGGAAAGGATTCGATAAATCGATAAATAACCTTGGCTAATCGATGTGTAATAAATTGTTACGGCTAATGGATAGATAGCATTAAGTGTTTTTTCGAAATAGAATGCTTCGTTTTGTATTTATTATTTGTTGTAGTTTGTAATTATCGAAGGAAATTTTTAGAAATATTTTTAAATAAATGGTATCGTAAAAATGTTAAAATTCATTTTTTTTGTGTTATATCAATTAAAGAGAAAAATTTTATTGGATTGAATATGATTTATCAATTTCAATTAATATTAAATGACATTAATTTATTGATAATGTCGATTATAATATACTGATAAACGTATCTATTTATTTATTATTTTTTTTTTTTTGATATTTATTGTGTTCTATGACAAATTGTTAATTAATCTATCGAATAATAGCATGATTTTACAATCGTTAATCAAAATAATTTATTATCATTGAAAGAAGAAATTTTTAAAAAATTTTTTATTATGAATAAATTAAATTAAATCACTTGTTAAAGATAATTTTGTAATCAAAATATTACTTTCTATAAAATAAGTAACTAAATTACGAAAAGATTTTTAATCATTGACGAATAATTTCATTAGATAATTTCAATAGCTTAGTTTTTATACATCAATACTTGGAATTCTTTTCAATCAAACCTATTTAATAATAGTTATTAAAATTATTCGTAGTTTCACAGTTTGATTTGCAGAGAATTAAATGACATTATCAATAAATTAAATAATTTCCAGTCTTTTTCTCGTATTGTCTTAATTGAAATAATGTATTTTTATTTTTATTATAATTGCAAAATTATGTTTAATTCGCAAGAAATTTTGTTTGTTTGTTTTAATCGTTTATAAAAATGTTATAAAATTATATTCCTGGATAATTTTCTAAACTCGTATGAATGAATTATGCAGTATGAATTATCGCAATTCGACGATAAACTCGTGGATGCAAACGAATTAAAAGGAGGAAATTTGATAGATCGAGACGGAAGGACATTAGAAGACAAACTGCGTAAATGAGAGAACGCGTCGCCATGGGTACCGTGTGTTGTGGTCCGCGCGTGTAGTGCAAACCCCGTGATCGAAGGGAAGAGACGGTGAGATGAACAGAGACAAGCTAACGGGGTAACAAGGAGGGAAGAGTGAAAGGTCCGGGAGAAAGAAGGAAGATATAGAACGCGTGGACAAGCGTGACCGGCAAGAGTTCGAAAGACTACTCTCTCGTGGCGTTGAAGAGAGGGCAGCAGAATCGGCGAGAGAAAGAGGAAGAATAATGCGGTCTCGTTGTTTCCGCCTTGATCAACAGGACGTTCGGATCTGCTCGTAGTAAGTAGAAGCAAAAAAAAATTAATTTTCTTCGATCTCTTGGATTTTTGTTTGCAGCTTGTTTTCGTGGTAAATTTGCTATAATTTGTGTGGGATTGTTCGACCGATCGATATCCATATTTGCATCGATTGTGCGATTATTTACATCGACGGATGACGAACAATTCGAATATTAGATTAATGAAAAGGGAACGAGCAAACTTTTGGGATTTCGTTAAACGAGAATCCAGAGATTCAGGTAAAAAGTCATCGAACCCAACTCCTGATGCAAAGATGGTGGAACGTAAAGATGGGTTCCTCGGTCGAAAGTGTTGAAAAACAAGGTAGAAACTGCGAGAGCAGTTAACCACAAAGTTAATCTCGAGTATCGTGGAAAAAGAAGTGGACGGCTATAAGTGGTCCTGGCGTATTCAAGGATGTTTCGAGCAGGGTCTAGTCGGTCAATAGAAAGTACAATACAGGCCGTGACAAGTTACTATAAACCGTTACAACATGGACTCGTTCGTTCGAACATCTATTTGCGCATCGTCTTTATGATCAATAGGATTCATTTAAATACGCGAAACGTTCGACGTTATATTAACACCGTCAAAGAAATTTTATTAATATTTATATTTGCAAAAGTTACTTTTATGATGATAAATCCCAGAATTTTTTTTCATTTATTGGCAATAAACTAAGATACAATCAGTGGCGTTTATCGCGAAATAATATCCAATTTTTAGATTTAAAGGACTGTGAAAAATCAGCGTCTAAAAGGCAAAGAAACTTCCTTATTGAAATACCGTATGAAGAGAGTCGTCAAATTAGCGTAATTGGATTAATTCAAGTTTATGCGTTGAATGCCGCGTTAGGAAAACGTGAAAAACGAAGCTTTATCAAAGTAGCAATTTCTTTGATGAAACTCCACCTTCCATGGTCGAGTGCCATGTACGAGAGGAAAAGAAAATATAAAAAAATCTTTTATACGGTTTGTACTTCTAAATATGAATTTTGATTCTAGAGTAGTTCCATCTAAAGTTGCTCGTTTACTTAATTAATGTCTTGGCACGAGATATAAAAAGAAATGTTTCGGTACTTATTGTTGCAGATATTATGAGAAATAAAATTTGTTAATTAATCTATCACGAAGAATTTAACGTGTCTAGAAATGTTTCAAAATTTTTATAAAGAATAATTTAATTTTTTATATATATATATATATTTTGAAGAGTATTTAAAAATATGTATTGAAATTTCGTTTGTTTGTTTAATTTGTAAAATACAATCAAAGATATTTTGATAATTTATAAAAATTGAAAATATATTGAGAAATTTTTTAGCTATTTTGAAATACTATTTTAATTTCGTTCATTAATGATTTCATTCACATTTTGTAAAAATTATATATTTCTATAACCGAAAACAACTATAACGATAAAAACAATTGAGAATTTTAGCGACCTTCTAATTTTTTAAGAAATGAAATTTCCGCGAATCCTTAAGATATAACTGAAATCTTAGAGTCGCAAATCTAATTATAAAACGTTAATCCGAAGGTGAATCGGCTTAATTAAATCAGAAGCAGTTTACAGATAGCGAATTTGCTAATTTTTGACATTTTAAATATATTCAATACATTTCTTTCAAAACTTGATTCTTATTTATTTTTAAAAAATTGTTTATAAATAATTAAATGTGAAAAGATAATTTTTTAGTAGGTTATGGAAAAATTATTAAAAACATAACTAATCTTTTATTTGTCAAAAGTTGTATATTCTATTTTGAGTAAAAATTAATTGCTTTTAAAAACAATAAATCAAAAACGAGTTTTCAATACTATCGAACACCAATAAATTAACATTTTTTTTTTCTTTTTTTTACGATTAAAGAAACGTAACATGAAGAACAAAAAAGATAATTTTTCCCGTGGCATTATAATTTTCTCAAAACGTGACAAGGCATTAAAGAATTCTCCTATTTTTCTCATATGCCACGCGATACAAGAAAAAATAATGAGAAACATATTTCAGTAAAATTTATTACGAAATTAGGATATATTATATTTGTCATGTAAGTATTCAAAGATTGAAATCAATTATCAAATATTTTTCATTCAATACAATGCTTTATAATTTTTATTATTTTATCATTTTAAAGTATACACATATCTATTAAAATATACATATATTTTTAAAATAAATTATTTTTACAGTATTTGATATTCTATCAAGAATGAAAAGAATGATAAAAATTGATAAGTAAGAACAAATTAATTTCAATTACAACTTATGAGAAAAATAAAATTGTAAGTAATTGCCGAGATGAAACTTCTTTTATGAAAATAGTTTTCATGGAATTGAGCAAAAATTACCAACCTTGAAACTCTGTAACTCTTTTTCTAACAATTTCAAGGTAACAAGGAAAATGATGAATTAAACTTTTTTAAACTATTTTCGCGTGAAGAATATATTTCAATTTCAATAAAATCCCGTCGTATAAAAAATGATCGATGCGATGTGAAAATGGCTCGCTAGCAATGCAGTTTAAAACTAAAATAAAGTTTTTTAACCAGGCATAATCATATTCATATTTAAAATAAAAATTGAATCGAAACTTTGATGATTATAATAGTTCAATAATATTTATAATATCAAGAAAGAAATTAACATTTCTAACCATTATTCTGTAACCAACAAACAAATTCTTAATTATTTGCCTTATTAATTGTCCTTTTTAAACATTATTTACAAATATTAATTGACATTAAATATTTATATACTTGGTTTTAAAAATTTGATAAAATTTTAATAAAAACACTGGAATACTTTCGTTCCATATTAACCGGGAAACACAATTAATATATGTGTGTGTATTATGGAAACAATTGAGCTCGTTTTGGATTAATCGATGTTGGACGACGAGTTGCATGCAAACGATCGGACACGGATTCGTGAGCGTGTAAATGACGTTAGAAAGTTGCGAAAGAAGCAGCTGACTCATCCACCAAGTGCTTTTTCTCATCGTTGCGGAAACCGTGGTCATGCACATATGCATGGAACCGAGAAGAAAATACAGGATGGCCCGCAATAGTGGTATAGACACAACCGGAAAAGGGGTGAATCTTCATGAAAAAAAAAAAAATAAAATAAAATTCTTATACGAGCCTATATTTATTATCATTCCAATTTTTAAATTTTTAGGAATTAAATATTCGTTAATGATTCATTGTAGAATGATTCATTGTAGATTTAAACATGTTTATGAAAATTTTAATTCTTACAAATTCTTATCTTATCTTTTTTAATCGTGGTAATTTCCAATACTTAAATACAAAAATCATGTTATCCAACGAATGGAAAAATAAATAATTATATCATTTTGCTTTTAATATCATTGTATAGAATTTGCGTGTTAGTAATTTTCTACTCGTTGTACATTGTATCAACTTCCTTTTTTTTTTTCTTCTTTTATCCTTCGTTTCTCGTTTATCAGATTACAATTACTTTATCAGTGATATCAAAGCTGTTCGATGGATCAAATTCTCGAAGCTTACTTTGATAAAATTTCATTCAAGTAATTAGCTTAGACATTATAATTTAAATACTTTTAATTTTGATTTAATATAATTGAAACATGTTCGCAATTATAATTTCGAGTTTAAATATTTATACGGGTATAAATAATAGTAAGAAAACAAGAAAAATTTAACGTTGTAAGATATTTCATATTGATTGACAGTCTATATATAAACAACTATTTGCGATAACAATAACAAGAAAAAGAATACTCGATAAGGTTTATCTGGTTGTGAGTCATATGAATGAGGTAACATGTAAATTGTTTAGGAATATAAAAAATGATGTTAAGTACCGTTTTTAGATAAAGAAATTTTTATCTGATTAATCGATCAGGAAATATCTATATAACAATATCTATATAAAATTTCAAGAAATTAATCAGATATATTTTATTTCTCGTACATTGTTCATCTTAAATAAGATATTTTAATTAAAATAATAAGATATAATAATAAATATAAAAAATAATAGATATAAAACAAATGTCAACTAAATGACAGTACTCAAAGTATAAAATAAATTTTTGTTATTCGTCTAACTAATGATCGTGACATGTATAAAAATTATTGGAGATAGAAGCAGAGGCAGAGGACAAGAGGCAGAGATTGTCTAGATTAATTTTTTTCTCGGATGCTGTTACTCGTTGTAATCGGACCGAAAAGTTACGGTATCTGATAATGTGTTGATGTTCACACGTAGAAAGAAAGTTAAATTTATATAGTTATACACGGAAAATACCGTTTTAATCTCCTTTGATAAAAATCTTTGACTGTTCTTCGACGAATGCAAGATTTTATCTGCAATGGGATTATTTCTCCGTATGAATAGATACATTTTTATTTTTAATGTAAAAAAAAAAAAAAAAAA